TTGTGAGATTCAGAATATATATCAAAGATCTGCAAAGTTATGGAGGAACTTCTTACAATCTTGAGTTATAACAGAGTCCCAACTCAGAAAAACCCTTAAAGCTCTTCTGTGGAAGTAACCTATTTGAATCATATAATAAAGTGAATGGTACCTCAGGAAAGTCATAACACAGCTGTATAGCTCAGCTAGATTATGTTTAGAAAACAAATATGGAAAAAAACTAACAAATCATAAGACCTGGCTATATGTCTGCAACAAATAATCTTTACTAAAACAGGTGAATCAGACACCTAATTTCTACAGGGGAACAACGATAAAAAACTGAATAAACTTTAAAAACCAAAAGTAGACACAGAGAGGTACTCTTTATCTCACTAACAACTGGTTTCAACTTCTTTTTGATTGAAGCAAGCATTATCTTTTTAATTATGACGCCTGAATCTTGGGCATAGTTTATAGTTTCTGTAATTTCTGACCACTTTTGCTTGTTAAAAGGATATACCCTGAGAAATTGGATCATCAATTTTTAATCACTTTTACTGTCTATACATTATTTAATATTTTAAATGGTGCCTCAATCTTTCAAGGTTAGTGTGTCTACACATTAGTTTCACTCTTAGAAAAGGGACTTATTTCTATGGCCAAATGGAAAGAAAATCCCTGCTATCTGGTAACTTCCAGGATTTCCCATAATCCATGAATGTTAACTTTTACTTAGTTATAGATAGAGGTTTATAATTTCTTTTGTACTGGAGTAGAAACATAAAAATAGTAGTTCAATGATACTTACCTAGAAAACTAAACTTTCAGCAAATGAAATTTGTAATTGATTATAGTTTTTATTTTTAATTTTTTTTTTAGTTGTCATTGGACACAATACCTCTATTTTATTTATTTATTTTTATTTGGTGCTGAGGATTGAACCCAGTGCCTCGCATGTGCAAGGCAAAGCATTCTACCGCTGAGCCACAACCCTAGCCCATAGTTTTTTTTTAATTGATTAAAAAAAAATGACAGCAGAATGCATTACAGTTCTTATTACACATATATACCACAATTTTTCATATATCTGTTTGTATATAAAGAATGTTGACACCCAATTCCTGTCTTCATACATGTACTTTGGATAATGATGTCCATCTCATTCCACCATCCTTGCTAATCTCCTGCCCCTCCCTTTCCTTCCCATCCCTCTTCCCTATCTAGAATTCATCTATTCCTCCCATGCTCCCCCTCCCTACCCACTATGAGTCAGCCTCCTTATATCAGAGAAAACATTCAGCATTTGTTTTTTTTGGGATTGGCTAACTTTACTTAGCATTATCTTCTCCAACACCATCCATTTACCTACAAATGCCATGATTTTATTCTCTTTTATTCCCTGCCCATAGTTTTTAAATCACTACCTCATTTCCTTTCTCTATTGACCAAATCATTAACATTGTGATTTCTTTAAATGCTTTTCAAGTTTTGAGAAAAATTATAGTTGAATTACTTCTTAAGAGGCTTGATATAATTAATAAAAAACTTTCTGTTTTGTAAGTTTTTCAAATGTAAAAAAATCAAACTTTGATTTTTGTATATTTTAAAATATATCTTATTTTTACAAGTATTTAAAGAAAACTGAGTTAAGAAAAATAAAGAAAAGTTTCCTACCTCTGATACCCTGGTTTGCTGGAGAAATTGGCTTGGTGGTTTCTACGACATAATCCAATATGCCTTGTGTAATTTCACTGTTGCCTTGAAGTTTAGTTTCCAACAAAACTTTCTTTCTCTTTTTTTTCTGTCCTTCAATGGGAACTTCATGCAATAGAATCTTAAATAAGAAAAATATCAGTAAGAGAAAGTTTAAAATAAAATGTGCCTTACCTAAAATACTGTAATACGCTAATAGCCGTTCTCAGCTCTAGTAATATGTCTAGTAATAAAGTAGAATAGCTTTAAAATAATAATATCAACACCCATCCCTAATCTCAGACCTATTAAATCAGAATGTCTAGGAACTGGAGTTCTGATACTAACAGACTCAAAAAATTTCCAGGTAATTCATCAGTGTAGCCACGATTGAGAAGGAGTAAGCAAACGCATTGCTGGAGCAACAGTCTACAGAAAACCCCTGCAGTACCTTTTAACAGGTTTCAGAAAACCTGGAAAGAGCAGCTTAAGTAAAATACTAGAGGAATTAGGTTAGATTAAAAGTAATTCATAGTGCTAGGCATCTGTTGTATAGAAAAGATAACAATTTAGTTAGATATATTTTTGCCTGAATTACAAGTTTACCAATGCATGTAATACAATTCAAGACCACAGAGAAGTCACTTGATTGCCTAGAACTTAAGGGAAAAATATACATTAAATAGTTAAAAATAAACTGTGAAAATGAGAACCATGTTTACACAAACATTTTGAGTGAGTTGACTTTTGTAGTTTTTTCATTTTTGAGAACCATTCTACAAGCTGTACTAAATCTAAGTATATAAATTGTAAGAAAAGCTCAAAGGAGTAACTTTTACTATATAATAACCTACACACATAAATCAAATAGTTAAATGCTCAAAAGGCATGCAGCAGAAAGACAATGATGGATAGAGATCTAGAATAACCAGCTTATCAATAAGGTTTAAAATATATAATAAATAAATAAAACATATTATAAGGTTTTATATGTTAATGATAGTATAGAATGACATTCAGTGTAGAAAATCAAATGTCATTAAATTTTCTCACTTCATATGACTTAGCTCTGTATTCCCGAGAATTGAGACTGGCAGTATTCTTCGGCCGAATAACAGCAACATAGGCATCTTCTATGTTTTCTGGATTTCCCATTGCTTTACAAAACAAACAAAAATTCCTTAAAGATTAAATGACACAATTGGTGGCAAAGTAAAAAATAGAGTATTATATCCCAACTTGAAAATCTTTTATTTCCAATAATCACTTTGGAAACAATTAAAAAATGTTTACTTATGTATCTTCGACTTTATAGTACCTAAAAGGCAAACCAGAGATAACTTTGATTGTATCTTTATCACGGAACTATTCAAAATATTAGCTTATAGTTTAAGATTTTCCTATAGTCTTTTAAATTCCTTCTGTTAAAGGTAAAAAATTTCAAAATGAAGATACATATTTTCATAGATCTTAACGACACAGTTAAGAATCTGTCTTTTAGGCATAAAAAAGTCATGAGGTTATAAAATATTTTGCAAATAATGACTTGAAATAATGATTCAGAATAATGCACACTCATTTTCCATAAATTATACAAGTGAATGAGATGTATGGACACCTCCTTAAAGACTGAAAACCCCCTAAAAGACATTGTATTCTGGAGACATTGTATAATATACATGGCACAATTACACAAACAAGTTTTGCTATTAAGTATCTACAAAGAGAAATCAAGTAACTCTTAGTTTTCCAAAATGAATTTAAAGCAAATCAATTCCTGTCTTGGCCAACCTAGGCTAAGAAATCAGTCAAGTGCTTTATTTGTTAATGCTCATCACTTAGGTTTTTTTTTTTTCTTTTTAATTTTTAATGTTAGCATTCCCAAAAGATTCTTAAAACTGGCTTTCCAGAAATATTCACATTTGACTATTTGAAATATACATTCTTCCTGTGACATGAAATAAGTAAACAAAGGCTTTTTTTAGGGAAATAATATTCCTATATTAATAATGAAGGTAAAGCCTGAAAAGATAGAAAACACATACAAATGGATAGGAAGAAAACAACTTGAGCTAAAAATAATGAAGATATAACTAGATATGTTATGAAACGTTGAGACTGAGTTTTAATAACGGTTTAAGTGACTATGTACAGGAAACATGTGGCATTTTGTCATATTTCCCACTCTATACCAGAAAATGCTGAGGCAAAAATAACAATATACTAAGTAATGAGGCCTCAGAAATGAAGTGTTGGGGGTGGTATCATTTTAAAATACACAAGGGCATTTTTGGTTGTGACTATGACTGGAGAAGGGGAGGTAGAGAAGAAACATTTGGTGCCCGTGGGCAGAATAATATGTTAGACTGCTTGCAAACAAACTCTAAAGAGACACAGCTCTCTGGGAGAGTGGGAAAGTAATGGAACTGAGATTTTTAGTTAGGCCAGCTAGATAAAAAGACTTCTGGTGAAGCTAAAAGCACGATGGAGAAAAAGCAAAGAAAGAAAACGAAAAGCCTCAAAAACAGAAGAAAGGGAAAGTGAGTTATGATGACAAGCTCCGACTCGGTTTTCCTACCTGACAACAAACACTCTGCCTTTCACTCCCCCACCTCCGCTACCACCCTTCAAGGAAAACTGCAAGCTTCTTTGCGCAGTTTCCACCTCAAAGGTAGCTTTGGCTTCTCTATAAAAAGAAATTCCTTGCCTGGAGAAACTAGATACGGAGGTGATTCGGTCTCCGAGTTCTTTTCTTTCGCTGGAATCTGGATCTCGCTTCTCGTTTCCGCGAAGGAAACCTAGCGGTCTCACCCGTGCGGGCGGCCCACAGTCTCTGGGGCCGCTACATTCAACGCCCAGGGAGGGATGGTCAACGTAGGGGCGGGGTCCGTCACCGTGTTTTCATCCCTCCTTCCCTTTTCCCAGGCACAGCAGCCCGGCCCCACTTCCTGTAGCAGCAGGACCCTCGGTCGCCACCAAAAGACGCCCGGCGCGTTCTCTCGCGCTCGCCACCCCACACCCCGAGAGCTGGGGTCTCTGGCGTCGGAGAACCTTTTGCGCACCCGCTTTTTATTGTCCTTCCCTTTCCTCGCGCCTGAGCACCGTTCACCCTTGCACTTTCTCCAGAAATTATGGGCTCCCAGATCTTCAAAGGCCTTATCTTTTCATCCTGCCACTATCCGGGTGAGAAAATCGCTTCCGGGTTCACACCCCTCGCAGCCTCGCGGTTGGTGGCGGAAGAACTTCCGGGTCGGCAGCAGAGGTGCTACCGTTCCTGCCCGCTGCTGGCCCGGGCTACAAGGCTTTCTGGGACTGGTGGCGGGCGGCTCGGAGACCGCGGTGGTGGCGGCGGAAGCGACGGAGCCGGAGGCAGGGGAGGGGAGGAGGGAGGCCGGGGCTACGCGCGCACGCGCGCGCAAGGCTCGAGCATGAGCCGGACTTGACCGTGAGGCGGAGGCAAGAGCCACCGCCCCCTCTTCCCCTGCCGCGAGAGAGGCGGCGCGGCGGCCAGAGAGGGATGGGGGGCGCTCGCCCAGTCTGAGCCTCTACACGGTGCCCTCGGCTCACGCTACGCTTTACGCGGGCCTCCAGTGAGCACCCTGCACCCTGGCAGCCTCTGTTTAGCGGGTGCACCCAGGCGCGCGAGGAAGGGGCGCCTGTCCGGGTGGGTGGGGCGGGGAGGGTACCTCAGGACACCGGCTCGGCGCGAGAGGCAGGGGCGGCCGCGGCGGAGGCAGAATTGCAGACGTGCGGAGTCCAGCCAACCCTTACCCTGAGCCCAAGAGGTAACCGTAAGTCTCAGCCTCTCCGTATGGGTTTGTTTGAGGCTGTCTCAACCCATTTTGGGATCCGACTTCAGACCTGCCTAGTTCACGCCCTCTCGTGTCTCTTACTAGCGTGAGTCTCCCCTTCTGGAGCACTGTCCGTCTGTCCCCATCACTGAACAGGCAGCATCCTGTGTCTGCCTTGTGGAGCTCTTCCTCCTGACGAATTTGCAAGCCACCTGGTTTCTGTGACGCGTCCCATCCTCCCCATCTAGATGCATCGCCTTGTCCCTCTGTCCTCAAAGGATTTGTGCCCTCTCTTTCTATCAGTACCCCCAGACACAGCCTCCCTAGTCCATCTTTGAAACGTGGAAAACCATGAGTTTTACCAACCTCAGGCTCTGGCTAGTGTCTTGAGGAGCTGATGGATGATAGGGTCTGCAGGGCTCTAATGGGTGGGGATAGGTGTGGATGGCTTCAGTAAATCTTTAGTTTTGCTGCTTTTGCCACCAAAACAAAAGAATGGGGCGCTTTTGTGTACCCTTACTCCTCTCCTTTCCTAACTATGTGTGTGCACTGTTTTCTGTATGTTGCTGTTTGAGTCGAAGGAAATTGGAGCTGGAGTGTTATTAAGCATCTCCTGAGGTGGTTTTGAGAATTAGTCTCTCAAGCTTTATTTACATGGGATGGCTTATTGAACAGTCTTATATTGAAATGAAGACCCATTCCAAAACTGCATTACAACTAAGATCCGAGAAAGAATATGAAAACAAAACCCTGAGGCTCCAAGTAGTATGTTTTGGATAACTTTAGATAATTTTAAGTGTTTTGATTTACATGTAGTTCTTAGTTTGCAAGAGTGAATGTTTGTGTATGATGTGAAAAATCCTTGTATTAAAAGCTTTTTCTTTGTTAATGGAGACATACGGTGGTTAAAATATGGTTTTTAAAGATCATGTCAGATTATATTTTATAAGGTATTAATTTCCAAGGAACCGACCTTGACCACTTGCAGATGTTGCACACCTTGGTGCCTACCTTCCTCCCCTTAGTCAAAAAAAGTTAACTATGAATGTCTTTAATGTTTATTTTCAGATTTTTTTACTAGACCTTTTTTCTCATTAAAATTTAATTGCTTTCTTTTTTAAAATTTTTATTGCATTTTAAAAATTATTTTTTCCTTGTAGGTGGACACAGTATCTTTATTTTATTTTTGTGTGGTGCCGAGGATCAAACCCAGTGCCTCACTGGTGCTAGGCGAGTGAGTGCTCTACCACTGAGCCACAACCACAGCCCCTTGGTTTGCTTTCTTAAGCTGATACTGCAGAACTTTCCAGAAATTAGATAAAAATATAATTTTAATACTGTCCATGATTAGAGAGTAGGTCTCATATGCCTTCATGAATTTACTACTTTTCAAAGCACCATAGAAATAAAATAATAATTTAAGAATAATATTACTCTGTGCCTTGCAGATTCAATGTTGTTATTCTCTAAATTAGTAGTCCAGTAGCTTTGGTGATGGGTTTCTTGAAACGTTATTTCATTAAGAGAAATAGATGTATTTAATGTTTTTCTCCTCAACCTCTTCTCAGCAGTTGGTTTGGGGCTATTTGACCTGTAACTTACACTTAACAGATTTTAGTTTGAAATAGGCTCAGGAGACGTAGCCTCAGCTATCTCTCTGGAAATGTACATTTACTTGTCATAGAAGCCAAGCACTGTTCAGAGTTGAGTGTATTATTAAGGGTGTGGCTTTTGTGTTCTGTAAAAATGATCAGTTTTTAAATAAGAAAAAAAAAATGGGTGTCATAGTGAGCTGATGGGCAATAACTTTGTGAAATCTTGAATAAACTAATGTCTATTGATTCTTCTTATCCTTGGGATAGGGTGGGAAAGATAGGACCATATTTTCATATTTCACTTGTTTTTCCCTTCATGTCTCTGAGGATTTTCTGTTTACAATACCAAAGAGCTCTAAAATCATGCAGACTCTCCTATGCAAGGACTACCACAGGTAGCTGCTTAGACATGGGAGATAAGGTTTTTAGCCAACCTTTTGTATTTTTTTTAATACTTATTTTTTAGTTGTAGTCGGACACAATATCCTTATTTTATTCATTTACTTTTATGTGGTGCTGAGGATCAAACCCAGGGTCTGGCACATGTGAGGCAAGCGCTCTACCCTGAGCCACAACCCAAGCCCCACCCTTTTGTATTCTTAAGGCACTGCCCACTTTTGAGAGAGTTGTCTTTCCTCTTCACTTTGTAGATATATATATATATATATACACACTCAGACTTGTGAAAGTGAAACGTGTGTATTTACAACCTACTTGTAGGTAAAAGTTCTGCTGATTTTCATATATATAAATACAGTAGATGGAAGAATTATGAATTAAGTTCATCTGATTCTTACTGAATGGAGAGTAGAAAAGGTTCCTTGCTGCTTTTGGTAATTTTTCCTTCTTTGGTGATACACACAGCATTCATTTAAGTTAAATTTTAAAATAGTTATTTCAGTTAGACTTCATACACGATACATTTCCAGAAAGAATTTGAGAGTAGGCTCAGTCATTATTAGAGACCAGCTGAAGGGAGTTTCCATGCATCATTCTAAAAATGCTTAGGTATTTTCTTTTTCAAAGTGACTTGATTAGGGAACAGTGATTTTTGTACTCTTACTTTATTTTTCAGACAACCTCAGACTGCCTTCTTTTTTTTTTTTTTGCTTTTCCAGATTTAAAAAAAAAAATTTTTCATGCTCACTTCATTTCAGTAAACCATTATTGAACACCTCTACATGTGCAAGGCTCTGTGTTATGTCAAGATTTCTTTCCTTAGTTGATTTACCAGTGTAGATATATTATGCTGACTTTATCCAACTGTCTTTATAGATTTCTCTAATAGATTTTTAAGACACTTCACCTTTTTACAGGGTTGTTTTGCATCCTTTCTATAAGAATAAACATATGTCTCCCATTGAGTGCTTAATTTTTGCCAGTACTGATAATTTTTATTTATTTTATTTTATTTTTGGAATAGTCCTAAAAATATTTTATCTTCTTTTGAAAGCCATACAGATTTTGGCTTATAGTATTGCTGAATGTTTTTTTACTTGTAATATGCTAGAAATGATTTGACTTACACTCCTTAGGGGGAAGAAGTTTTAATAGATTTGTAACAGTTCTTAATTTTCTGATGTTGCTTCAAATTGACAAATCCTAATTTCGTAAAGTATTATTATCTCTTATGTTCTAAAACAGATAATTACATATCAAAATGTAATTTTCAGTTATTGTTTAAACCTTTGGAAAGACATACTTCTTAAGTTCATTATGTGTAACTATAACATAGATCTTCAGCCATGCATAATTTTTTTTCAAGTTCAACAATGGAACCAAGAGCCTATAAAATGTACTAAAATGTGTTTATTCTCTAGGAAAATCATGTGACATATGTTCAGCTTTTAAAATTCAGAGTTTAATTTGGCTAACTATCTAAATGCCTGGGAGAGTTTTGATTTCTGTAAAGACAATGTATTCCTTCAAATTCGAAAATGATTTTACTTATTTGTTATCAGTAGGATATGTGGTTTATCAGCAGTTTGATACAGTTAATTCTACTAATTTTTCCAGACTCTTTTTTTTTTTAACATGGTCTTCCACTATCTCCAGAAGTCTCATTGGTATACTAAACGTCTTATTCCAATTTTTTTAACCAAAAACTATTAACAGTTTGCTGTTTTTAGGGGTATAGAGCAGATAATTAATACTTCTCAAGTTCCTAAGAAAGAAAATGCTTGATATTTTTCTATTCTTAGTTTGACGTGTGTGTGTGTGTGTGTGTGTGTGTAATTTTAACTTGATATAAACAGTCTCGCCTTTTCAGTGTAGCAAAATCCTTGATATTTTTAAGTCACTGTATTTTGCTGTTTGGAATAATATTTGTGGTAGACTTCCTATTCAAGGAATTATGAGTATATCATAAATTTGTTAGTTGCTGACTGAGATTACACTGATGAACAAATCAGGATTCTTTTCCTCATTGAGCTGTAAAATGCCCATTTAAAATTCAGGAAGAAAATGTTCATTTAAAACATTGAGATGCTCTTAGTTTTCCAAGTAGGCATAAAAACATTGTCTTCCTTTTTAATGCATCAAGTATGGTAAAAGAAGGCATGTAAATAAGCATATTAAGCCAAAATTTTCATTCTGTTTCCTGGCTTCAGACAATGACTGATTCATATTTGCTGTACCATCGAATTTTCTATATCATATTTTTATTTCAGATTTTTAAAACATCAGTTTGAAATAATTTCAAATTTTAAATGGTACATAGTATAAAGAACTGCTGCAAAGAATCTCTTCACCCAAATTTCTTCCATTGTTAATATTTTGCTGCATTTCTTCCATTGCCTGCCCTGTCTCCATAATACATGCATATGTGCCTGGATTATCAGTCTTTCCCAAAACCTTTGGAGCATGTTGCAAATGTGTATCTTATCAACCTTAAGCAGGCCAGCGTATACTTCTTAAAAACAAGGCACTATGTTGTGTAACCAAAATACAACTCAACAGAAAGGCATTTTCTATTTAGTTGTCATATCTCTTTAAATTTCTTGAGCCTCAGTTTTCCCTGGTCTTTCATGTCTTTGGCCATTTTATAAAATACAGGGCCTGCATTCTGTAGAATGATCTTTATTCTAGATCTGTGTAATGTTTCCTCATGACCCCAATCAGGTGATGCTTTCCTGGTTAGAAATACCATACAAATTGTGCTGTGCCCTTCTTGATGCATTGCATCCAGAAGCATGCAGTGTCCAAACCATGTCACTAGTAGTGATGTTAACAAGATAATATTTTTTTCCCTTTGTAATTGATAAGTATTTGTAGAGATATTGTCCATCACTGTGCCAGTATCTTAATCAAACCTCTTCTCATTAGCCTTAGTGTTATTGATGATTCCCATACGAATTAACCACTTTTACGATGATTGCCATTATTTATTTCCATTATTTCTTCTAC